TTCTTCCTCAGCCTCCCAAGTGCTGGAATTACAGACACAAGCCAGCGTGCCCTCTACTGTGGCCATTTTTAAGCCCCACAGATGAAGAAACTGCCGCCTGGGGCAAGAGGTGGTGTGTGGCTCAGCTGGGGCTCCAAGCCAGGAAGATGACTCCTTGGCCTTGACCACAGTGCTCTAGGGCCCAGCTCCTGCTCCCTTCCTGCCTGCAGCTGTGCTATCTCCAATCAGATTGCTTGCTTACTCCTGGGATGAGCCAACACCCCTGTGAGCCAGGCCTGGAACAACTCCACCCCTGCCTGCTGCTCCCATTTGCAAAGTGGGGAGCAGACAGTGCTGTTTGGAGTCCTGACCAGTCATAGCAAGTAAGCATCAGGTGCTGGACTAGAACCCAGGACCACCCAGCTCCAAGCACACTGAGCCCTTGGCCTCTCTGGGCTCCAGAACTCCCAGGCATTGGCTCTGCTACACCCAGCTGGCCTGTGCAGTCTGGGTGGGGAGTATAGGCGGAGGTCATTAGGAGTAGTCACTCACAGGCAGAGGTCATTAGGAGTAGTCACTCACTCCTGTATTCAGTGTCTGTGTGCCGGGAACTGTTCTAGGAGGAAGGACCGCAGGCCAGTGGGACAGGAAGGCCATGGATGAGCTGTGCATACCTGTGCTCTCAGCCTTCAGAGGTGGAAGCAGGAAGTCAGGACCAGCCTTGGCTACATAGGGCGTTTGTCCACATGTCTGTCTGTGTGCCTGTGTACCGGATGGCTGTGAAGGACAGAAGGTGGCTTGGGAACCTCTGGGCACTGGGAATCAAGCCCAGGTCCTCTGGAAAAGCAGTCAGTGCTCTTAACCACTGAGCCATCTCTGCAGCCTGTCTCACTGTGTACCCAAAACTGAACTCATATTTGTGATCCTCCTGCCTCAGCCCCCCATGCTGTGCCACCATGCTAGGCTTGAGCTGACTGGGACACATCTAGGGAGGGACAGCCAAGGCAGGGAGTCACACGATAGTTTACCACCCAGTAGTCACAGTGGTCACCTAGTTATGCTGAACATATCTTGACAATGATACTCGGTCTTTATTGCCATCCTGACTTGTGAGTGAGGATTATTCCACAGAGAATTGAGTCCCCAGGGCAGCCTAGGCTGAAAAATAGGTCCTTCTGGGCTCCAAGCTGCTTCACTGGAGCTTAGCTAGTAATATTTGATTTTTTGTATGTACATTCTATTTTTTTATACTTTATTTTTAGGCTGGAGAGGTGGCTCAGAGATGGCTGGAGAACTGGCTACTCTTCAAGTGGTCCTGAGTTTTAATTCCCAGCAGCCACACGGTGACTCACAGTCATCCATAGTGGGATCTGGTGCCTCCTTCTGACATGCAGACAGACATGCAGACAAAACATACATAAAAATATACATAAATACATTTTTTTTTTTTTTTTGGTTTTTTCGAGACAGGGTTTCTCTGTGTAGCTTTGGAGCCTGTCCTGGCACTCTCTCTGGAGACCAGGCTGGCCAAATAAAACTTTTAAAACAGAATAAAAAGCAAAGATTTGTTTTTATATCCTTACCTGGCAGGGGAGACACCACAATCACGGAGGTGGTTTTCCCGGGGAGGCTCACCAGTTGCACTCCGCATGTGCTGACCCTGCGATTTCCCCAAATGTGGGAAACTCGACTGCATAATTTGTGGTAGTGGGGGACTTATCTTTATTACCTTAAGTGTGTGGTGCTTTGTCTGTGCACATGCTTGCAGTAGATCCTGTGGGACTGGAGTTACAGACAGTTGTGTGCTGCCTGGTGAGGGCAGGGAATTGAGCCTGGATTTTCTGGAAGAGAAGTAAGTACTGTTAGCCACTGAGCCATCTTTCCAGTCCCTGTCTGTATATTCTTTAAAGTGTGTTTGGTTTTGGTTTATGTTTTTCAAGATAGGGTTTCTCTGTGTAACAGCACTGGCTGGGGCCTGGAACTCACTCTGTAGACCAGGCTGGTCTCGAACTCATTCACTGGGAGCTTGCATGCAAGCAGGTGTGTGTGTGTGTGTGTGTGTGTGTGTGTGTGTGTGTGTGTGTCCACATGCCATAGGTATGCACATGGAGGTTAGTGAGCACGGGAGTTGGTTTTCTTACCATGTGGGTCTCAGGGATTGACCTTGGGTATTCAGGCTGGTTGGCAGTCACCTTTACATACTGTGCCATCTTGCTGACGCTGACTGTGTATTGTTACTGAGATATTAAATGCCTGTAATACTAAGGTCAGGTCCAAAGTGTTCAGAGAACTGGTCATGAAGGCATAGTCCTGTAATTGCAGCTCTCAGGAGGATTTCTGCCCCAGGTTCAGTCCCAGCCTGGATTATACAGTGAGCCCCTGTCTGAAAACACAATAAATAGGGGCTGGAGAGATGGCTCGGTGCTTAAGAGCATTGACTGCTCATCTAGAGGACCTAGGTTTGTTGTTTGTTTGTTTCAAAGCATTAGGCTTGATTTTTTTTTTAAGATTTATTTATTTATTATGTATTCAGTGTTCTGTCTACATGTACCCAGGCCAGAAGAGGGCACCAGATCCCATTACAGATGGTTGTGAGCCACCATATGGTTGCTGGGAATTGAACTCAGGACCTCTGGAAGAACAACCAGTGCTCTTCACCTCTGAGCCATCTCTCCAGCCCCGATTTTTTTGTTTTTTTAAACAATCTTTTTTTATTTTATATACCAATCCCAGTTCCCTCCCTTCCTCACGTTCCTCTCACCCCTCCCCTACCTCCCCGTCCCCATCTACTCCTCAGAGGGGGTGTGGCCTCCCATGGGGAGGCAACAAAGTCTGTCAGATTTCTTTGAGGCAGGACCAAGGCTGAGCAGGGTAACCCTCCATGGGGAATGGGCTCCAAAATGCCAGTTCACGCACCAGGGATAAATCCTGGTGCCACTGCCAATGGCCCAATAAACTACCCAAGCCCCACAACTGTCACCCACACTCAGGGCCTAGTTAGGTCCCATGCGGGTTCTCCAGCTGTCAGTCTGGAGTGAGTGAGCTCCCACTGCCTCAGATCAGCTGTTTCTGTGGGTTTCCCCATCATGGTCTTGACCCCTTTGCTCATATTAACACTCAAGAGGACCCAGGTTTAATTCCCAGCATCCACATGGCAGCTCACAGCTGTTTGTTACTCCAGTTCCAGGAGAGCTGACACCCTCACACAGACATTCACGAAGGCAAAACACCAATGAACATAAAATGAAGATAAATCAATAAATTCAGAGAGGAAAATGGAAAACAAGAAAGTAAAAGGGCATGTCTCAAAAAAAGGAAAAAGAAAAACAGCCTAATAAACAACAATAAAAACTAAAATGAGCCGGGCGTTGGTGGTGCACGCCTTTAATCCCAGCACTCGGGAGGCAGAGGCAGGCGGATCTCTGTGAGTTCGAGACCAGCCTGGTCTCCAGAGAGAGTGCCAGGATAGGCTCCAAAGCTACACAGAAACCCTGTCTCGAAAAACCAAAAAAAGGAAAAATTAAAATAAAGTCAGGCATGGTGTTGCATGCCTATGATCCCCACAGCTTGAGGGGCTGAGGCAGGAGGATTGTTGCAAGTTCAAGACCAGCAGAGCTCTACATGGTGAGTTCCAGATGAGTCAGGCATAGTGAGACCATCTCAGAAAGCAAAGGCTCTGTGGGAAGTGCATTCATAGAGGAGCTAGCCTGGGCTCACCTCCACCTCCTCCCACCTGATG